TTCTTCACGTATATTTCTTAAGAATGTGCTGACACTTGCATTTTTTTCTATTTCCTGTCTTACGAAAGTTTCTTGAGGTGTTATATTCATACTATCTATAGACTGCCTGATTTTATCCTGACACTGCATAAATCTTGAGGTGAATGACTCTAAACCTTCATTTTTGCCCATTATACATGAATCGCGAGCCCTCTGAAGTGATTCTAAACTCTCTTTTTCTCCAAATAAAATTCGTAATCTCTCAAAAAGATCGGCAAAGGTTTTAACTGCATCTGCTCTAATTGTATTTGCTGCTCTTCCTACTAATTTTTGTGCAATTATTGCATGTAGTAATGTTAATAGTCTTTCATTTCTTTTTGTTTTTCTTTTAGATAATCTTATTAGATAATGATATTTTCTAAATCGCTTCCATTAAATTCTGGTACTAATTTTATGCTTTTCCCAAAATCATATTCTGTAACTTCTTCTAATTCTTCGTGATCGCTATTTAAATCATTTTCATTTAAGGCTAAGCCTTCCTCTCTTCTAACTGGTTGTTCCATAGCTACTAATCTCGTTTCGAATCTTTCCATTTTTGCAAGAATATTTTGCAAATGATCATTTGATGCACTTGATGTTTCTGGCATGATGTTTAGAATATTGTCTAATTGTAGTCTGTCAGTCAGTGATATTGAAATGGATGAACTGTCTGTGTCTATTGTTTTGTTTTCCCTACTTTCTCTATATGAATTTAAATCCAGTTTAATTTCATAAATTTCCTATATCGTTTCGTACAATTTTTATTTTATATCCGTTCGCGTTTTCTAATTTAAAATTTCATTTCTTGCAATCCTACTACAAGGAGTACACAAGAATATGAAATTCATTTTTTTAGTTTATTAACGATGGCAATACTTATAAAATCACGGAGTATACCAACGCTTTAAAACAAACTTAGCCACACCCTATGAAGGTCGCCGTTCAACGTATGTAAAATGGACTTATACTCTTGTTCTAAAGATTCGTAATTTTGTTTTATATACCTTACTGTTGGTCTTGATCGTAGTTCTGGATAATCTCGAACTCTGCTTCGTAGATTTGGATAACTCTCTGGATACCTCTGTAGATCTGGATAACTCTGGATACCTCTCTGTAGATTGCAGTTTATGAAAAAAAAACAATTAGTTGTTTAAACAATTAATTAAATTGTTATAGTTTTTTTCGTCCATAAGAAACACTTAAACATTATTTTAATATTTTTTTTTATATTCCTCTGATATTCTCTTATATTCCCGCGTCAAATGACCTCTTCACGTGACGTCACATGCAAATCCCGTTCTGTTCGGAATAAACAATGTAATCATAGAATAAGTACAATTTTTTTATTTTAAAATTCGATTGCGAACATGGTTTTTTGCTAATTTGTTATAAATAAATAATTTATTTATTTATTAAATTTCAATATTTTTTGTCGAAAAAAATTTTATTCAAAACTTTGACTCAAATTAAAAAGAATGCCTCTTGGATCATTAAAATAGGTTAACAAGTTTCTTTTTAATTAATTTTTTTAAAAAAAGTGTTTAAAAACTTAAATTGTTTATAACAATAAAAAAAATTTTTTTTTGGCAAATCCTTTGATATAGTGTTTTTTTTATATAAAGCACTATAGAAAAAACAACGTTTTGGCCAAAAATAAATTTTTTGAATTTTAGGTGGCACGTTTCAAAAATTTTTACTCATTAATCTAATTGTTATTATTAATTTAGTTTTAATTATTGTTAAATCAAACAAATTTTCACGGTTCGTAAAATGACTGTTTGTTTGTAACAAATAAGTTTAGATTTAGCCATGATACCGCAGCGTATCTCTTGCTTTTATACAAGTTTAGCCACCAGAGAGATTTCTCCCTATTAATCGCATTTTTAACTGCTTGGAAAGTAACAAACAAGTATGTAGCAATGCAACCTTTAACTCTTTGGCGGGTAAGCGGGGTCCATTGGACCCCGCGAGTATCTATTTTTCAAATTTCTCCGAATCCGTATGCAAAAATAAGTTCATCCTAAAAATTCTATTAAATAGACTAAAAATACATTAAAATACTTTTACAGTTTTTATATTCCAATTGTGCATGATGCTACATGGATGTTTAAACTTTTTACCGGCACGAACGGGCAAGCGGGGTCCAATGTACCCCGCATTGTCTTAAGTAAAAAAACATTGCGATAACGTTCACGGTAAAAAATTTACTATGGGGACTAAAGTCCCACTTAGTGGAATAGACAAAATTCACAAATTGTGCTATAAACAATTAACAAAATAGTGTTTTTCTTTTAAGAAGTTTGAGCCTACACCAAATATAATCCTGCTTTGCACTAAGAACGATGTGTATATTTACCAGCGTATTTTGCAAATCTGGAGACTTAAAAAAAGGGTGTTTTTTTAAATTATTTTATAAGTACAGTTTTAAATTATTGTTGGCAACTAATATATCATTTGATTAAACAATTTTTAAAGAGAAAGAAAAAATTTTATTTTCAATTTTTTTTCACAAAATGGTGGCTGTAGGATTCCGTAAAAAGTGCTAAGTTTTTTGTAGACCTCCGCGGCGAGCAGCAGAAGTGCCCTACATCGGCCTTTAGAATCAAAAAAATTGTTTTCATAAACTACATAAGATTATCTAGTAAAATACACATGATTATAATTTTAGAATTTTTTTCGAAGATTTGTGAGACTTACAAAAAAATTGCATTTTTCACTCAAAAAAAATCGACTTTAATTATTCATAAAAAAAATCCTGTTCATTAATTTTATAAATCCTGTGTAGGGGAGACTGGGGCGAAAAGTTAAACTACCAAAACCGTTAAAATTCGTTATCTTTCGAACGAAAATAGTTAGAGCATTGCAATTTTCATTATAGAAGGGTGTTATCACCCTAAATAAATGTCCGGAGTTGTGTGCAATTCTGTTTATTTTTGTGGTGTCAATATTGAAAGTTTTTTTTCAACCTACTTTTGAAAATTTTTTCGAAAAAGAAAATATCAACTTTTAAGTATATTTTTTGAATTAATTCTCATCGCGATTTTTTTAGATCCTTATTTGGGTCCCCTGAAGAGATACCTAAAGGTATTTGCTAAATATCTTTAGTCAGATTTTTTATATTTGTTGTTAAATTTTTTTTTTATATTTTTATATTTTTTATATTTGTTGTTAAATTGTTAGAAAACAATTCGTAATAATAAAGACCGCCATATTGGATCCGCCATTTTGAATTTTTAGAAATCGACATGGGATTCGTCATCAGCGACCCCGAAAACCCCCGAGTAACGATTTGCAAGCCAATCCTAACAAATTTTAATTATATTGTCCGCCATATTGGATCTGCTATTTTGAATTTTGATAAACTAACACCGGATTCGTAATCAGTAATTTGTTTGGAATCTTAGATGTGTTTTTGAGGTTAGGTTCGATAGATTTAATGTTATGTATGAACTTTCAATTGAAAAACTTATAGAACAGTTTATTTAAATTAAGGGATCTTAGAAAATTATAAATATGCGGTTAGATTCAATTTTGATAATTCAAAAGTGACCATTTTAACGATTTTAGGGTATTTTTAAGGTTAGGGCGAAACCAGGACCCATTGGACAAATTTTGATAGCGGATTCGGATTCAGCGCATCGAAATACATCAGAATACATATGTCTCGACCCCAGATCAAGGCACTTTATTTTTTTTGTGTGGCTGCGTTTTTTTCTAACCTATCCTAATGTAATAAAAAACACTTTGGAAGTGACCAAAATTAAAGTTACCAAACATTCCACGTTTGTTTTAGAAATCGCATATATGTTAGATGATTATTTTGGAAACTACGTATTGCTACGCTCATTTTTAATTAATAATTAATTTAATTAAATATATTTTTTTTATCATTAAAAAAGAGAATCACGAAAATTGAACAATGAAGTAAAGTGTGAATATTGAATAAATAAAAAAACATCGCGTTGCCATGGGGCGAGTAAAATTGTTTCGGTGTCAACGAAAGAAAGAAAAACGCACTCACTTCTCTCTGACCCGCGATCTGAACAACACGTTCACATTGTATTCTTTCTATTCGACAAACATACATAAAGAATTGTATTAAACTAAAAAATAATTATTTCCTGTTATAAATAAAAGAAAAAAAAATTATTAAACAAACTTAATTTATTTCTTCTACAAGACAAGAAATATTTCAGCACTTCTTCAAAAGAAAACTTTTCTCTGAAGATTCTCCACCCAAAGGAAACTCCAGGTTCTTTCTCTTCTTTCTTTTTCCTAATCTTTTCTTTCTCCTATTTTTACGATCCTCTCCGTAGGATCGAAAAATAATCTTTTTTCTTATTTTATTTCTTTTCTTTTTTTCTGTTTTTTCACGATCCACTCGCAGGATCGGAAATTAACCTTACCTTTTATCTTTCCTTCTTCTTTCTCGATCCCCTTCGCAGGATCAGAAAATTCTCTAATCTTTTTTCAAAACTCATTCTTTTTCTCTATTTCACGATCCTCTCGCAGGATCGGAAATTAACCTTTCTTTCTTTTCTCTTTTTCTATTATTTCTCGATCCTCTATGTAGGATCGGATATTAAATTATTCAAAGACAACAAGAAGAAAATTCTGGATAACAATTTTGGCGCCCAACGTGGGGCCTTAGGTCATTTGAAAATAACCCGAACCCTGAAATCTAAAACTTTTTCAACTTCACTTCCGGGAGTGGGATACAGAAAATAAACACCCGGTGGCGCCTGACGCAAAAATTTTTTTTTTATTCTACATACAAGAAGTTTTTGAAATGTTTTTTAATACTTCAATCGAAGTAAACAAATCGCCTTACTCCGTTCCTGTCACTATCATCAGAAAAGAGTCAAATCAACGTTTTTACATAAAATTTAGTCAATTAAATTCCGAAAAAAAATTTTCCAAATCAACTCCGAATCTGAAAAAATAAATCATCGATTAAATCTCAACGACATTTTTACCTGTTTATGGATCAACAAAATTATATCTTACCAAAGGACAACACTGGCTTTGTGAACGTTTATACCGACGGTGCATGTTCAGGCAACGGAAGGACATCTCCAAAAGGTGGTATCGGTGTTTTCTTTGAAGACAATCATCCTTTAAACATATCTGCTCCTCTCATTGGTAAACAAACAAACAATCTTGCCGAAATACAAGCTGCCACTCAAGCCGTGATCCAAGCAAAGAAAGCTGGTATATCGAAACTTAGAATAAATACAGATTCTAAGTATCTAATAAATAGTTGTACCGAGTGGATTCCTCGTTGGAAAGAAAACGGCTGGATTTCATCATCTGGAAGACCTGTAAAAAACAGAAAGGCAGTGGAAATTTTAGAAAACACAACAAAGAATTTAGAAATCAATTGGACACACGTACCTGGACATCAAGGTCATCCTGGAAATTCTAAAGCTGATGAACTAGCTAGAAAAGGAATTGAAAAACCTATTTCTGATGACTTCTAGAACACCATTACTAGAAAGAAGAATTCTTCGCAACCGAATTATCGAAATAAATCCTCCTGTATCACACGCAAACATGGAAGAACTAAACCCTCAAGATAACTTGAGAAATTCTATCTTTGAAAATCAAAATGGTTTCGAAAATGACTCAGAAACCAATTTCTCCGGCGAACTTATAACTACATTTACAGAAATACCGATCACTAGCACTGCTGCAATCACCAAGTCAGCAAATGGTCCTCACAACAATGAAAGACGACCACTTACATTTTTCTTCGATCAACAAACAAATTCGAATCAAATTTTTAGTACAGCACCTCAAACAACAACTTCCATCAATGAACCTCGCATATCATCAAGCGTTTCCGACAACATTGTAATCTAACCACCTTATGTCCAGTCATCGTATCAACCGCCTTCAACTGCTGATCCTCCAAGAACATCATCATCTTACTATCCAGTAGCTGCTCCTTGGTATCCTCCTGTTGATCCTAATTGGTATGCTTGGAGAAACTCTTTGGAAGCACAAAGAAACTCACTTCCCGTTCCAGAATTTTATGGAAAAGATCACGAGAATCCTTCAAATTTTTTGAATGAAATGCAGGAATATTTCCGTTTGCGCGGAACTCCTGAATCAAATAAAACCAGATTGGCCTGTCAAGCTCTGCACGGTGAAGCAGAAAAATGGTGGGAAATTTATAAAGGTATCCCTTTTGAATGGAACCAATTCCAGGATTTACTTCTTCGCCAATATGATTCACCTTCAGTACTTGGAAGATTACAAGCACAACTGTATTCACAACGTCAACACGATAAAGACCCCGTGGGTGTATTCCTGCAAAAGAAGTTTTTATTATTTCGACGATTAAGACCATTAGAAACCGAAATCATTATGGTACATACCTTAATAGAATTATTAAAACCAAGCATACGTCATGCAATTCGTGCTTCTAGTCCACAGGATTGTCATACTCTTCTCACACGAGCTGTCGAAGCTGAAAGGGATGAATTCGACATGCTACGAACGCAACCACGAAGAGAGGAAAAGAAACCTTCGGAAAAGGAATCCAATACAAAAAAGACCCCCCCTGATTGTTGGTATTGTCCTGAAAAACATTTCCATCGTGATTGTCCTGTTTTTCGGAAACAAGTTGATGATCGCAAAAAACAAAATCAGGAAAACTGGCGAAGGGCGGTGGAACCATCCACCACCGCCAACCAGAAAAACAACAATTAATTTCTCTATATCTTAACCCTCAAGATTGTCATAGACTGCCACGTATATTAACGTTTCTAAATGATCAAGAGATTCCAGCAATTCTAGACACTGCAGCTACAGAAAATGTTATACATTCTTCCAATTTAACTTCCAAGCAATTACAAGACCTCGATCCGTGCATCGATAGCGTAGATTTAGCTGCACCTGGAACAACAATGAGAGTATTAGGAAAATTTGCCCTGAAAATCAAAATTAGTAGTCATACTGTCAATATAGAGTTTCTAGTATGTAATGAACTTAGGGAACAAATGATATTAGGCATACCTTGGATGACGGAACAACAAGCGATTATCGATATTCCAAGTGAACGTATCTATGTTGGGAAAGACACAAGATTCACTATTTTCTTTCTTCAGAAATCTGGTCCATTAACAACGACTTCACCAGAAAAAGAAGAAAAAATTGAGAATCTTGACCACGGATTTCCAGCAGAATCTACAGATGAATTCCTTAATGTTCTGCGTCGTTTCTCGAAAACTCTTATTCCTGATCCTCACTTAACACAAACTCGTTCTATTCAACACGTAATTGAATTAACTGACTCAAGACCAGTTCGACAAAAACCTTATCCTGCATCTCTAGAAAAGCGTCGAGAAATGTTAAAACAAGTACAAGAGATGCTGTCCAACGACGTGATAGAGCCAAGTACGTCATCATATTGCTCCCCCGTGGTTCTAACCGTGAAAAAAGACTGAAAGAAAAGGTTTTGTATTGATTACAGAAAACTGAATGCTATCACCCAAGATGTAAACCATACGTTACCTAGGATTCAGGATTCTCTAAAAGAATTAGGAAAATCCAAAATCTTTTCAACGTTGGATTTACGTTGGGGTTATTGGCAAATACCACTGGAGGAGAACAGCAAAAAATACACTGCTTTTTCCATCCCAAATGGTGGCACGTATCAATTCAAGGTCATGCCGTTTGGATTAAAATGTGCTCCAAACACCTTCCAAACACTTATGAGTCAAATAGTTTTACGTGATTATATCAACAAATTTTGTATATCATACCTAGATGATATTATTATCTATTCAAATAGTTGGACAGAACATACTCAACATGTGAATTTGGTCCTCGAAAGATTAGAAATATATGGATTAACATGTTCCTTCGATAAGTGTTTCTTTGGACAAACAGATCTTAAATATCTCGGTCATAATGTTCGCTCGGAATATAACGAACCTCAAGAACAGCATATTCAAGCTATTCTACAAGCTGCTCCACCTGCAAATAAAAAAGAATTACAGAAATTCTTGGGAAACTGTGGATGGATTAGAGAATATGTTCCTGATTTTTCTATTCTATCTAGACCACTTACCAACTTGCTGGGGAAAAAATCAGGTAAATTGACGTGGACCACGGAAACCGACGAAGCTTTCCAAAAAATAAAAGAAGCATTTAAAAATGATTTGCGTTTGAGTCAACCCAATCCGAATTTTCCACTAAATTTACAAACAGATGTCAGTCCAAATGGTATGGGAGCGGTCCTTTATCAAATCGTTGATGGTTTACGTAATGTCATCAGTTATGCAAGCGCTAAATTTAGTCCAGTAGAAACTCGTTATTCTCGATTCGAACAGGAATGTCACGCAGCAGAATGGGCCATCAAACGTTATCGTCCTCAACTCAAAGCTGCACAATTTCATCTATATACCAGCCCCAAAGCCTTAAAATGGTTGCAAGTTTCTAAGGAAACAAAACCAAAATTAAGGGTTCTTGGGTGATAGTAGTACCAAAAGTTTCTTACCAGCGATTGTTGTATGAATATCATGATTCTGGTCTTGCAGGACATCCTGGAGAAGAAGAAACTTTACGTGCAATCCAAGAACATTTCTTTTGGCCAAAAATGACCAAACAAATTCTCGAGTATGTAAAAAGTTGTAAACTTTGTTCCTGTTGTAAATCCTTTCGATCACAGGGTACCAACGAAGTCCGTCCACGTCAACCAAAGACTCCATGGGAAACAATTTCTGTGGATCTTATGGGACCTTATCCTCGCTCACCTCGAGGAAAACGGTTTCTGCTCGTGACAACGGACCTTTACTCCCGATGGGTTGAAGCCTTCCCCTTAGCTTCCTCCAAAACTCATCAAATTACTGCTCTACTGGAAAGAGAAGTATTCAGTCGTTTTGGTTACCCTAAATCTATCATCTCAGATAACGGATCTCAATTCACCAGTGATAACTGGAAGAAATCGTGCGAAAAGTGGAGTTGCATTGCGTGGTATACACCTATATACCACCCGCAGGCAAATCCAACCGAACGAAGAAACCAGGAACTGAAAAAAGGAATGAGATTCCGCCTGATCAATTGTGAGCACAAACATTGGGACTCTGGACTCGCCGAAATTTTATTTAATATAAGAAATCGACGCAACGCGGCAACCGGACGGACGCCGAGTCAAGTCTTGTTTGGAACGTCGATGAGAAAACCTGGAGAATGGGTTTTATCAACTAAAGAAAACTCTTCCTCACAATTAAAGGAACAAAATAAACAAATTGATCAACATCAATCCCAATATATCAAAAGATATGCCAAACCTGATCAATCTAAGAAAAGATTACAGGTTGGTGACTTTGTCTATGTACGAACTCATCCGTTATCCGACAAAGAAAAGGGATTTAATGCAGGTTTAGCTCCCCGTGGAGATGGACCCTACGAAATAAAAAGACATTGCGGTGGCGAAATTTATGAAATCGAACTAAAAAATCGAATTGCAAAAATCCATAGTAATGATCTTCGTTACGCCTATCCTCGTAAAAAAACATTCCTTGAAACACCTCGTCAGTTGAACAACACACAAGAAGTCGACAATCAGGAAAATGAAATGCTCGACAAAATTGATCAACAATCAATTCCCGAGACAATTTTGATTCCAACGCAAAGAAAACCTGGTCGACCTCGAAAGAGAAAAGTACTCGAACCACCTGAAAAAATAAACAAAATTAGTACAGAAATTTCAAATTTTTCACCCTATAACTTACGTTCAAAAAAAAAATAAAATAAATAAATAATTTTAAAAAAAGGAATAATACATTTAAATTTAATAATAAAAAAAAATAAATAAATAAATAAAAATTAGAAAGCCCTGCAACTTCATGTTATTTGAGACACATTTGTTTAACTTGACAACGGAAAAGGTTACAAATAACAAATAGTTGTCATCAATCATGGACGCAAGCAAGGAAGCTTCTACTATTCAAAAAGTAAAAAAACCCAGTCAGAATAAAAGAAGGACTGAACGTAGAAGGAAAGCGTTTGAAGAACAATTAAAGAATCCTGACAAATACGTACCTCTGCCTGTTGCACGACGTAAAAAGCCGAAAAGGAATTCTAACCCTTCTACGCTAAAAATGCAATCTTCTTTCAAATCCGGTACAGCAAACATCCAAACAGCTTCCAAAATTGTAAGTAAATGTGTTCCTAAAAGAAATAAAGAAAATGTGTTTTGTGTTTTAACAGAAATTTCGAAAACAATTACCTCGCCAAAAATATCACTTGTTCCTTCCGCATCAACTGACGATCCAGATATTTTTGAATTGAGAGCGTCTCCAATAAATTTTTCACCCGTCCGTCCAAACTCTCCACTTACACTAAATGAAGTCGACAAAATTAATTTGAATAAATTGCCTCCCACGCCAGGAAAAAATATAATTTTTCCTCCTGTTAGACAGAGACAAACTACCGGAAACAACACGAAATCACGAAATTAAAAACGGGT